AACTTCGTCGGGAATTTTTTTTAAAATTTTGTCGCATTTTTAGTATTTGTCACTTTTTTTCAATCGCGTTTTTAAAATTTCTATCACTTTTTTAGTAACAAACGTCACTTTTTAATAAAAGTGAGATTGTATGATAAAAAATGACACTAAACTTTTAAAAGTGATATTGTGCTACTTTTTTTTAAAAAGTGACAATTTTATCAATTTTTTTGTGTGTTTGTAACTTTTTTTTAGTATTTGTCACTTTTTTCTGCCACTTTTTTGAATTTTTTTTTTTACTTTTTATTGTTTGTTACTTTTTAAAAATTTCTATGACTTTTTTGAATAACAAACATAGGTTTTGATTGATGTTTTGTCACTTTTTTAAATATTTGTCACTTTTTTTAGTTTGTATAACTTTTTTCAGTGTGTGTCACTTTTTTAGTTTCTGTCATTTTTTTAAAAAAAGTAAAANCTATCACATGATTTTTCAAAACATTCTTAATTTTAAGGGTAGTTTTGTAAGTACCCCTTTTAATTATAGGTTATTCAAAAAAAAAAATTCAAGTGAAAGCAATATCAGTGGACGAAAACAAGCCCGGTCCATCCAGGACTAGACTAGAAAGCCCTGTTCCAAGCTGAGCCGTGACATTAACACAAGATATGGTTTGGGGAAAAATTTGCAACTCAGGCTTTATCTATCTCAAAATAAAAAATCAGGTCCCAAGGTTTAGAATTGCAAAAAATACAGCCCAGCCATGTCTTGGGTACTAGATGGGCTAGGCTGATTCAAGCCCATCAATGTTGGACTTTATTGTCGACGTGGCATTCATGATCATGTCTGGCTTAGCAAAATTACTAAAAAAGTAACAAAAAAAAAAAAACTAGCTTCTTCTGAGAGGTCGCTTCTTTTGTAGAAAAACGCAAAGCAAAAAATACTCCAAGAAACCTTACGAGCCAATTTTGGACGAGCTTTTGACATGCTAAACTCAGTTGATCTCAAATAACACGATTCTATTTACAAACTCGAGTAAGAATGTGTTAATTAGATCATTAAAAAAAAACTACTTATGCTGAGTGAATGGCATATTTTCGAACAAAAACCAAATCAATAAACTTTTGAAATAACATATTAATGCAGCAAAAAATAGCGAAAAACTTGTTAATTCACTTAGAATACTACTAAATCAGGCAAGATATGGAGAAAGGTCTCACAACATATTCTTAATTTCTTATTCAATAGATCAAAACTTCAAAAGAAATTGTGACCTACATCTTTGAATTGCAACTCAAGTCCTTTGTCTCTCACTAAAATAATTAATAAGTCCTGACCAATAAAAAATAAATATATATTAAAATAAGAGCCAGAAAAACTAAAAACAAAAAGAGGACAGAGTTATGGGAGAGAGTGTTTCCTCTTGGTCACGGGGAAAAGAACGCAAGACATTATGAGGAAAATGGGATGAAGAATTATGATTTGCCAATTGCAGGTGCAGAATCTGGAGGCCAAGATGATCGAGATGATTCTGCCTATACGATAGGCCTTCCTGAGAGGAATGATTCTGATGAACTGCAGCAGCAAGAAATTATTATTGACAAGATAAAAGATGCAACTATGAAGATCACTGGTGCGTGTAGCTGTTGGTTTACTGACTGGTGTTGGTTGAAGTTCATCCCATATAGACGCGACTCTTATATTCCACGTAAAGATTCTGGAGCAGCTATGGCTTCTGATGTCGCCAATGTGGGTAAGATTTATCAATTCTTGTTTATTAGTAAAAAGTTCTGTAGGACAGTTCTGGCACAAAAATAGGTTTTAAGTAAATTAGTGCTTAAATTTGTGACAGATATAAAGTTCTGTATCAAATTCTATTTTTCCTACCATCGTTTATTCCCTTCTTGCACTCTTTGATTCTGAGAATGAAATACATCACTTTCAGAGGCCTCAGTAGCAGAAATTCTTGTGCGCGAGTGGCAGGATGTCAAATCTCAGGCTCTTGGACCAGATCATTTTCTTGGAAAATTGTCAGAGGTGAGAATTTCTTATTTAGTTTTTCCTCTGCTTTACTAGTATATTTGCTATTTTCCCATCTTGGTTACGTTTGAGTAAAAGGATGAAGCCCAGAAATGCTATTGCCCATGTGGCCAAACATACTGTTACTATGGCCATAGATGGTACTATTTTAATTTGACGTGTTAATTTTTGTTTGAGATGTTAATTATGTCCAGGGATGCAGAGTACATATGGACCTTGAATCATTTGTAGTTTGACCTTGGCATCAGGTCACATGATCTAAACAAATGGTATTTGGTATATAGTTGTAGTTGAAGCCCAGTCGAAATTCATGTAAATGTCCTCTGCATCGATGCATTAGTTAATAGTGGTTGTGGTTGAGTTCTTCCCCGTGGCCCATTTAAATCAAAAAAAAAAACGATGAGCTCCTTAAGGGGGATGGAATGTCGACCACTGGGAGTATTTTATAATATTCAGGTCTCAATTTGGATCTCATTGCACCTTAGATATGTATCTCTTGTTTGTTTCCTGATACAATGTGCCATGGTTTAACATATCTATGATAATTTGTTCTTATAGAGAATTGATAATTTTTTGGAGTTGGAAACCAGAAATTCAAATATAACAATTCAGTTTAATATCTCTCAGTAACATCATTAAATATGTTTGTAAACTCCCAAACATGTTCTTTTAGCCTTGTTTAATCAGTCGTTGGTGCTTTTTGATATTTTATATGTCTTGCTCTTGTAATCAATTAATTTATTCTTCCTCAAACATATTTGAAACTGTGGTGCTGGTCCTGGAAGGTCAAATGCTGATTGAGTAGCAGAAATTGCAGCTTGTTCTGGGACTACGAACTTCAACCTTAAAATAGAGTGTAGCTGTCTTGGCTGATGGTCGACGTGCCCTTGTGGAAGCAACTCTCAAAGAGTAAGATCGACTAACTGATGGTGCTCATCCTGTGCAAGACGACTCGTACAGTACAACCTACACAACAAGGTATGAGATGTCATGTGGAAAATCGGGTTGGAAAATGGTTGAACTAGCTGTTCTCAGATCATAATTTTTGTTTGTAAATATTAGAATTCGATTGTAAATTCCATAATCTTAGTATTTGCTGGTTAACTCAGAAGAAATTTTCAGAATTAGAATGAATTAAATTTTAATCTAAGTCAAGGTGAATAATTAATTTAAACCATTTACTTTACGGGATTGTCAACATTTCAACCACAGATTTCATGAATTTTCATCAAATTTACTAAGCTCTGATCTAAGTTAAAGTCAACAATTAATTATAACCACACATTTTATGAAATTTATAACTTTTCAAACATACATTTTATCAACTTCTATTAAAATCTAATAAGTCTCTATTTGGTGTCCATTGTTTTAAAAATCTTTTTGCTACATGATCATTTTCAATCACACATTCACAAAATAAAATATTTTGTATGTAAATCCAATTTTTTAACCATACATTATCCTAAAAATACTATATATTTTTTTTTTAAATAATGCACACCAAATGGGTGTTAAAAATCTAAATTTAATTCCCACAAAAAAAATTGGCTAAATATGACAATCAATAAAATATACGCCCTTTATTCCATAAATATATGATTGCTTTATTTATTAATTTATAGTTCAATTTCTTTGTTGAGATTATAGTTAATTTTTAAATTACATCAACAAAAAATGAACTATTATTAATTATTTATAGTTCAATTTCCTTGTTTAGCGTATTGTTCATTTTTTTTTAATAATCAAATATGTGATAGTCCAAAGATAATTAACCAAGAGGGGTTAAAATGGTTTTTAAAACTTTTTTGAAAAATTAATCTAAATTCAAGCAAATTAAAGATTTATTATATCAATTTAAATAATAAGCACAAATATGAAATTGATAAGTAAAAGGGAGAGATGATACAAACGATGTAATTGTGGATATTCAATCCAAGCAATGATCTATGTCATCCGCTATCAAACTTTTCAATACGAACAATGTCTTTTCACTATTTTGATTGACTTACAACTTTTTATAACGCTTTCGGTGACTTACAAACAAGGAATATTGATCCTCCTTGTATAATGTTAAACTTTACGAGATCTTAACACTGGGGCTGGACAAAACTTTCGAATCGGACCGAACCCGAGCCGAAGTGAAATGAATCGAGCGGTTTTTCATAAGTTAAATACCCGAACGAGTATCTGAATTGAGAACTGATGGATTTGGTTCGATTCTCAATCCTAGACCTAGAACTGAAGAACCGAATCTAAACAATTTTTAAAAGTTTTCATATTGAATTAATTAAATTATTTTAATTTTTTCTAAATAAATTAGCAAATTAACTAATTTAATTATTAATACTTCAACTCCCAAGTCAAGTCCTGCCTAGCTAGCTCAACCCAACCCAACCCAATTTCTAAATTCAATTTTTTGGCCCAATTATTAATTTCATTGTTAGTCCAAAATCTATGTTTTTTAAAGTTTTTATCCTTCCATTTCCAATTTCATATTTTCATTCGATATTTTTGATCATTTCCTTTCCGGTTGATAAAATTTAAATGTTGTATTGAAAGGAAAAAGATTGTATGCAAAAAACTTGTCATTTTAGATGTTCCTACTAGATGGAATTCAACATTCTTAATGTTAGATAGTGCATTTAATTTGTAAAAGTTACGAATGAACATGTCATTCGTTGTATTTCTGTAGTATTGCTGNTAGTTGTATTTATGTAGTGTTACTGTAAATATTAAAAAAATTAATTATGGTACAGAACCCAACCGAACCGAACCAGACCGGTTCCACAATTATATTTGGACCCGACGGTTCCATTTATTAAATACCCGAAAATTTTGGTTCGGTTCGATTCTGAAGAGAACCGAATCGAATTGGACCATATCCAGCCCTACTCAACACAACCCACTATTGAGCTTTAACGGGATTTCAATATGATTCACACTATAGAGCTTTACGAGACTTCAATATGACCCATTCGATGACTTTCAACAAGGAGCATCAATCTTTATACAATGTTGATATTTACTGAACTTCAACAAGATCCACACTTTATCAAAGTAATTTTAAAATGAAATTCTTCTCTTGATAAATAATACAAATAAGTTAAGTACTAAGAGAGATTAACACTTCAATGAATAGCAACAAATGACAGCTCAAGTGTTAGATGAAAAACTTTGATAAATATGATAGTTAAAAATTAAATTCAACCAATCAAAATTTTTCAAAGAAAAGATGAAGAAGAGTCAAATACAATTTTAGTTCAACAATCTTCTCAAAATATTTCTTTCTTATAATGAACGATTATAATAAATTAAATATTAAGAGAGAAATGAGAAACTTTAATGAATATGATGATTTTACAAGTTTGAATCATTCAATCAAAATTTTCAATATAAAGAAGTTGAAAGGTTTATGCAATATAAATGTAAATATCTTTTTCAAATATATGTTTTTCTTTTAAGATTGATATAAATAAGTTAAACATAAAGAGAAATGAAAAACTTTAATGAGAAAAATGATTCAAAAAGTTTGATTCAACAATCAAAGTTTTTGCTATAAAAAAATAAATAAAATGAATGTAAAAATGTAAGTTCAAATAATATTTTTTACAAATATATTTCACAAGAAAACTCTTTTCTAATTGTTTAATGAATGCAAAGTGAAATGCTATTTGTATCAATCAAAATGCCGAAAATTCCTGCAAATGGGGCGATCTATCCGGACATTCGGATCTTGAACTAGACAATCAAACTATTCGTTGTGCGTTGAAATCAAAACAGTTAAGAAAATGATTGTTGGCGAACTGGATGTCCGCATGGTCAACCGAACGTACGCTTTAACCTTTCTCTCTCTTTTTTTTTTTTTAAATGTAGGCTTTTAAAGAACTTTTTCACTTTATTTTTCAAGTTAAGTAACATTGTAAAAGTTTAAATATCAAATTGAAATATTTACTTTTTTTAAGAATAATTTTTTATGTAATTGTTTTCATAAAATAATTTTTTCATGTCTGAAACAATTTTTGAATTTTTATCATTCATTGTTAAATATCAAAGTATATTAACCTTTATATTTGAACTAAGAAGTTTAATCTTTGATTTTGTTTCGAATTTTGCCTCGTAGACTTCTCGTTTTGATCTTTTTTTTTTTTTTTT